ACACTAATAAAGCAGCATACCAAGCAAATAGACCAACCTTTATTTGGGGCTGCTAACATGAATCGTTTCCATTGCCATTTTGAAGACTATCCAAATTCTTACGTTCATTATGGCTCAGGAAATCCAAGAGTTCAAAATTCAAAGGCAAGGTCATGATAGGCAAGGACTTCACCCTTTATCTCGAGTACTTTCAAGGACTTTACCGATTTGTATTTGCTAATCAGACAATTGGGTAAAGCATCAACCTAACACTTTCTCCAGTTGTTTGAAGGCCCCTGACAAACGTGGTTTCTTTGGAGACTAAGACTGGTAGAAACTTCTTTATCCACAAATAAAATGCTCATAGGGTCTAAAAGGAGCCTAACAATTATTTACGTACAAGTGAACATATATTCATGAATTGCTTTCCAATTGCATAAATTTTATGGTATACAACATAAACAGATTCTATGAGGATTCCTAAATAGTCAAGAAAATCTTAAGATTTTAAAAGTTAGCTCTGCGGGTCATTGGGGGGAAAAAGGGATATCTGTAATATTTTAAACAAAAATAAAATTTAAAAATATATAAATATATATATAAAAATAAAAGTTAGCTCTGTACTAAATATATATTACTGGTCTCTACTAGAAATAGTGTACAAATAAGTCTTCACTTCTAAAAGAACAGTAAGGAGAATTATAGAACAGTTAAGAAAATGCACATATTTTAGTGGATGACAGCAAATAATAGTTAAATAAGCCAANTATATAAATAAAAGTTAGCTCTGTACTAAATATATATTACTGGTCTCTACTAGAAATAGTGTACAAATAAGTCTTCACTTCTAAAAGAACAGTAAGGAGAATTATAGAACAGTTAAGAAAATGCACATATTTTAGTGGATGACAGCAAATAATAGTTAAATAAGCCAATAAAATAAGCCTGAGGTAGTATATGGGTTCCTGAGAGATGAATTGATTTTCTCCCCAAATTTTTCAGAGGAAAATTTAAATGTTCACTATTGGACCATAATATGAAAAGACGAAGGGCCAAAGGGGGAGGAACTCGAGATCAATCAATAATTAATATTTTTTCATAGCTACTGTTTGTCCAAAAGGCCTTTGGGGGTTACAGATATGTTTCCATTAAGCTCAAGATCAAGTTATAAAGAGAAACAGAGCCAGCAAATGCCAAACAAGTTTGTGTTGCTGACCTGGAGTGGTGTAGGGGCTTGGCTGAGGAAGGAAGGAGAGCATAGCTTAAAGGGAGGGAAACTTCAGTAAAGAGAGAAGGGAGGTGATGAGGAAGGGCATCTTTGCAGACAGGTAAGGCCACACATAGGCTTCAAAGAGATCCCCAAACTTCAGATTACCTGTGTGGACTGTGAGAAATGGTTGCAAAATCATGAATGGGAGAGAGATGAGAGTCAGAGTAAATGCAAGAAAGAGAGACACCGTCTTAGGAGCAGCATTGCTTCTTTCTTTTTGACAAGTATTTATTGAGGACCTAGCTCGCAGAGCTAGGAACAATTCCAGATACTGGGTGTGTAGTGATAACAGCGAACAACTTGTGCTCATGCAGTTTCCACCCAATGCAGAAAAACTAGATGAAGGAAAAAGACATAAAGGGTTGGTTTCGAAAAATCTTAGGAAAGGAATTGAAAAAGAAAAGAAAAAGGAAACCTGTAATACTTTTATAGCACACATTCATACCTTTTTCTGTATGGCTATTTGTTTTTAGTCATTCTACTGTCAATTTTTACTTATTAATGTCTTAAAATTTGACTTTTATTATGTATATATTAGTGCTCCTATTTTGAATTGATCAGCTTAAATTATTGACTAATAAAAAGTATGGTATAAATTGTCACTTTAAAATGAGTCATTTGAAAACAACTTAAAAGGGCATACTTAGAGGGATATATCTCATTAGGAAAAAATATTGAGTCCTCAGTATGCATTATAGCAAAAGATCAGCATTTTTCTAGAATTCAGCAATGGATTTATTTGTTGCAAATCTCATAATTCTCCTTCAGCAGTTTACCTCTACTCATTTCAATTTTCCTGTTATTTTTGTCGCCCCAATAAATATTCACAGTCACCTTTGACTTTTCCCTCTCTCAATATTGACTCTGTATAACATTCTTTTTGTATATATTGGATATTGCTCACTGACAGTATACAAATATTGTCAGAACGCAATATATAAATATATACTTGTATGTATATATACATATATATGCACATATATGTGTGTACATATATTTATATAAAGGCCTCATTCCTTCTTTAATTAATACAGTAGTTTCCAGCGTCCCCTTCTGCCTGCCAATCACAGAATTTTGGAGCCTGGAGGGAGGGGCTCTGTTAGGAACACCATCATAGCCTCTGCTTCCTAATCAGTCCTGAAGCAGGCACTTGCTGTGTTTTCTCTAATCAAAATCTTTCTATGTCGTACCACTGCCTCCTGAAGACTGCCCAGCCTTCTTTATTGAGTATTTGAAGTTGTGTGCATTTTTTTTCAAGGTCCCAACATGTTTTTCAGCCTTATCTTTCCATTCATCAACTCAAAAGGATTCTTTGGACACCTCTGTAATTTGAGCTTCTCTAGAGGTTTGTGATACAAAGCAAGTCACAGCCCTGCTCTTTAGCAGCCGTTAGTTTCATGGGTTGTGTGTGTAGAGGTGAAGAGACAAATACATGAATAATCCATTCTGTGTCGAGAGTGGGGGTGATAGAAACTGCCAAGGGAGGACTGGACTAAAAAATCCTGCTATCTTGCTACCTTGCTTCATCAATGCTGATTAAATTAGTTTGTAATTAAAACATGGACTCTTATCAATACTCCCTAAATTTTTCCATGATGTTCTCTCTCTTTGGAATGTCTTTTCTCTGCTTTTCTATATACCCCAAATATATCTGGTCCTTCAAAAACTAGATCAGATGCCAAATAATCCACGAAGCATTTCTTAGTCTCTTTAGTCTCAGTATCTCTCATTTAAATTTTCATGCATTTCTAATCATCCCTGCTTGTATAGTTTATTATTAAAATCTTGCGTCTCTTTACTATAACTGTCTTCCTCCTAAGAACAGAAACTATGATATATATAAACCTAAAAAAAAACCTTCACAAAACAGATGTTCAATGAATGTTAACCAAGCTAAAATAATAGGGCATAAATACTACCAAACTCAATTGTAAAATAGGAGGGAATTAATTATACAAATTGATCACCACACATCATTTACTGTAAAACTTAACGGCCGACAGTAGAGAGGAGAGTTAACACTATCAGACTAGGATCCCTAGGCTTGAAGGGGTTAAACAGATCTATCCACAAGGGGGAAAAAATGTTCTTTGTTTGCCTTCATTAAAGACTAATTTTAGGTCTTTTGATAACTAGATGAACACATTGTTTATGCTCCATATACTTTCTGCCCTGGGTCTTGGAAAATACATTAAATTTCCAAGAATTAAAGTTTCCATTAAGACAAGTGCCAAACCAGGAGGCCCGACCTGAGGAGGAAGCCATTTGCCTTTGCTGGCTCCCTTTCCAAGAGCTATAGAAAGATATTTACTGTATCACCTTTCTCCTGCACTGCTCTGTTTAATCATTCAGACCGTCTCTGCAACATGGGGAAGCTGCGGCATTTCAGAAAGCCACCAAGTACTGAGGAATGAATGACCTTTTGAGTTCTCAAGTGTTGACAGCGGTCCCTTTTGGGGGTAAAATTTCTCATTGGAAGACACTGAGTGTTTTTTGTTTTTTTCCTGTTCTGCTGGGGTGTGTGTGTGTGTGTGTGTGTGTGTGTGTGTGTGTGTGTGTGTGATTTCCTGAGAGCTACATGGTTTGGCCGGGAAGAAACCGTTTGCTATGTCGGTTTTCAGAACATTTTCCACCTGTATCATCCTTACTAGACTGAAGTGTAGTGTGTGCATAAATGTGTGTGCACACAGCTTGAGAGCCTCAAAAGACTATTTTTCTTATCTCTATATCTGGTTTTATTCAATCTTAAGTAGTCCGGTTATTTACCAAGGTTACAAAAAAATAAAATAAATTCTCTTTACGTCAGTGAACTTAGACTCATAAAGTTCTCTCCCCTGAGCAGGGAGCCTTTTAAAGACCAGCGTGTCAAGCTTGCGCGGCAGGGGTCACGGCTACTGGAAAATGAGCTTGTCTACGGGTCCCGCCCTCCCACCTCTGCCCCTCCCTCCGGCCTGCTCCCTACCT